CTCTCTCTCTCTTTCTCTTCCTCGCGTCCGCCATCCCCCTATCTCTCTTCACAACTGCTGTCCTTTTAAGCTTAGCGAAATCAGCGTCTACCGTAGCAAAGAGCCCGTCAGAAACAGTTATTAGGAAATCACCGGGTTTTATCACCTTAATATTTTTTTTTAAATATTATATCACCTTAATAAATATTTTTTTTTTGTATTCGGGAAGTAATTTCCTCCGTTGTGTTCGTCTTATCGTTTCTTCTCTTAAATCATCTTTTTTAGATTACTATTTTTTTCCTGAATAATGTGATGTTTCAAGCGTACCTTATTTTTTGTAATTTTGGCTGAATCCATACTACACGGAAGTATATGATCTTTCGCTTTGTTTTAAACTTACATTGATGCGAACTTTACTTCCTATTTTTCTCCGCTCCCCCGCCCCCAGCCTTCCCCTCCACACCCCCGCCCCAGAGAGAGAGAGGAGAGAGAGAGAGAGAGGAAAGAGAAAGAGGAGAGAAAAGAGCGAGAGAGAGAAAGAAAGAGAGCGAGAGAGAAAGAGAGAGAGAGAGAGAGAGAGAGAGAGAGAGAGAGAGAGAGAGAGAGAGAGAGAGAGAGAGAGAGAGAGAGAGAGAAGAGAGAGAGAGAGAGAGAGAGAGAGAGAGAGAGAGAGAGAGGGAGAGAGAGAGTAGACAGATTGAGGTAGACGAAGAGGTGAGTGAGGAGGAAGAGAGAGAGAGAAAAAGATGGTGTAACATTCAACGATCCCATGGAAAAGCATCTCATCTGCTCCTTCCGCCGTGACCTCGCGTGGCTGCCTCCGCGTCCCTCTCCCCGAGCATTCCTTCTTCCTCCGATGAATCTGCCTTTTCGCTCTTTCCTTTTCTTCTCCGCAGCTTCGCCACCCCCAAAAGGCAAAGAGGAGGACAAGGAAAGAAGAAGGCGGAAAAGGAAAAGACAACAGTGGTGAAGATGATGATGATTAATAAACAATGATAAACACCTCTTCCTAAGCAGGATAGCAACCCCCTTCATTCAGAGTTATGAGAAAACCTTTCACGAAGTCGCGCTAATGCTGCGTTCGGAGCTGCTCGTCCATCTCGTGCAGGCCAGTTGGACGGGAAGGGGTTAGGAGGGATTTTTGGTTCATATGGCGGTCCTACTGGTCGTTCGTGCGTTTAAGAAGCGGTTCACTCGCTCGTTCGTTCGCGCAACGCCGTGTCGAATCATCCGAGGCCGAATCTTCTCTCGGGTTCCTACATTTTTCACGTTCTTTATCATCTGAAATGCTATCCTTGGCTCGGATTTTCAATTTCCCACTTTTACTTTTCAAAATGCAAGGTATGAACGAAATCACCCAAACAGATCTATTAGTAGTGAAAGAAATTGAAAAAAAAAAACGAATTTGTAGTTTTCTTACAGGTGGCGGCGCAGGGTCCACGGTCCTCCTCCCCCCCCCCTCCGCTCCCTCCCTCCCCTCTCCTTCTCCGCCCCCTCTCCTCTGCGCAGAAGCAGAGTCGCGCCCCGCGGCTACCAGCCCCACTCCCCGCAACGGAAGAGACGTCGTTGGCGAGCACAGCGCCCTCCGGCTTCTGCTCCTCAGCCATTTGCACGAGAGCGACGACCCTCACGGACGCCTGAGGAAGGCTGGATCGAGTGGAGTTTCACGCGGCCGCATCGGAGATCTTACCAGGTATTTCTAATAGGGATATTGGTCTATAATTCTCAACTTTTCTGGGGTCTTTCCCTGCTTTTGTTATTAGGACCATGGTGGCGT